AAGGAGCCACTACTGGTCTTTCCTTGTATGGAGAAAAGAAGAATGATGAAAACTGAAGACACTTGAAAACAATTAGTCCAGTGGAGTAATGAACCACGTGAACATCACTCTCCACGACCCTGAGACCAGAAGAACTAGATGGTGCCTGGCTACCGCTACAAACTGCTCTGAAAGGCATCACATTAGAGGGCCCTCAATGGTGGTGGTGGTGGTGACGTGCCATGGAGTTGGTTCTGACTCACAGCAACCATGCACAGGGTTTCCGAGGCTGTAAATCTTTATGGGAACAGAAAGCCTCATCTTTGTCCCATGGAACAGCTGGTAGCTTCGAACTGCTGACCTTGCGGTTCACAGCCAGATTTATAACCACTATGCTACCAGAGCTCCTTAGAGGGCCCTCAATAGAGTGGGAGAAAATGTGGAACAAAACTCAAAATCATAAAAAGACCAGGCTATTGGTGAGATAGAGATTATGGCCCTTGGTTACTCCATGACTCAATTTTCAGCACTGGATAGGTATATGGGATGTCAGGGACAACAACACTAGGGAGGTATGCATATTACAGAATGGTTAATCATTTAAAATAAAAATTGCAGCACTTAACTGAGGACAAGAAACACAAGGAGGAAATGGGATTAAGTTGACGCTCCATGGAGGAGCTTGTAACTGAGGTGAAACAAAGTGTATGATTTGTTGAATGTAAAGTTGATGATCTACTCTGTAAACCTTCACTCCATTCACAGTAAAAGGTTAAAAAACCAACCAACCAAACAGCTGCAAGTCAAATGAGTAAAGTTTCTAAGAAAACGTGGCCAAAGCAGGCATTACAAAAATAACAAGCAGAAAGAAAGAAAATGAACCAAAGATCTTCAGCCTATAACTGACTGGAATTCCTAAACGGGGTTCTAGAACTTGCCCAGTGAAATCGGCTTCTTGCAGAACCTTTGTAGTCTATAGGACTTTAGGTGGACTCCCGAGTCCCATCCAGAACCTTCTGAGGTGGGTCCAGTGGGACATTCCCACTGGAAAGGACAAGTAGACCAGCCTGGAACAGCTAGAGCAACAAAAGATACTTCTTAAAAGAAAGACCAGCAGGAAACATTCAAAACAAAAAGAAGTCCGACGGCTACTACTGTAAGAGGAAGCAAGCTGTTTGCCGGCGAGCCATCAAGGCTAGCAATAAAGTCCCTTCAGGACAACCCCCACCACCACCACCACTAAGACTGAAACTCAAAGGGAACACATGAGCAGGCATGTAAGCTTGCTGGTGACCACATTGGCCTACTGATGCGTGGAAGAGGGGGTAAGGCAGCAATGAAGATATGTGCTGAGATCGACCATGTTCCACAGACTTCCATTGACCTGGAAATGAGAGAGAAAAGAGGAAGGGCTTGTTGGTCCAAAGTGTGGTGAGACCTGGGGGATTCCTGAGCCCAGGGACAAGGACATAGCCATGGAGGGCTAGAGTTGAGAGTGAAGCATCCAGCTGATACGAAATGAGGAGAGACACACAAGAATGCCAAAAGTTGCATATAGTACCCATTTGACATAGCCTCAATGGCTGGATGATCAGAACTCAACTAGAAGATAAAAAATAATTTTTGATAAAGGAAACAAGTGTAAACTGCTACAATTAGATGAACTTGATTTATACTTATGGATGTAGTATCTCAAAATACTGAGAGGGAAGCAGTGTTCACATCAAGTATCAGTCTTATCCTCTCTGTATACAAGGTTGGCAAGAACAGGCAACTTAAACACTGGCTACCTAAAATGAGGGGGTGATAAAGGCATGAAGTGACTGGCTTCCAAGTTTTTAAGAGAGAGCTTAGTTTAAGACTGTGCGGGAGAAGGTAGAGTCCCCACTGAATAGTTCTCACCTTGTCTAGATGGGTCTGGTGAGAAGATATGGGGATAAGATTCTTATGATTCAATAGTGAGTAATTGTTATTGTGATTGTGACTAATTGCAACTGTCACAACTGTAAAGGTAGAAGTTTTGTAACAAAAAAGGGGGAGTAGTTAAATCTTATAGTTCAGAAACAGAGGACCCTAGGACTATCAAGGGAGAAGAGCACAAGCAGAATGTGGGACCCTATCCAGAGAAACAGCGACACCAGAGATGGAGGTAGAGATGAGGACATGGAGAGAGAGAGCAGCTGAGGACTCTAGATTCATGGAAAGAGAACGACTGAGTGCTGGCAGCCAGGAGGCAGGGAGGCAGGCTTGCAGAATGTGCCCTTTGGTTGTTTAAATTATTGTACATATTCCTGAGTGGTTTTGTGTAGCATAGTGGTTACGAATTGGGCTGCGAACCTCAAGGCCAGCAGTTCGAAACTACCAACTGTCCGTTGGAGAAAGATGAGGCTCTCTGCTCCCGTAAAGATTTATAGCCTTGGAAACCCTGTATAGGGTCGCTATGGGTCAGAACCTACTCCACGGCACATAACAACAACAACAAAACAACCCCCCAAACAAAACACAACCAGAGGGAATAGAAGCACACAACTTTGAATGATGATGCATGGAGGGGACTGTAATCATTGCAATGAAATGTTAAATGTAAAACCGATGTTCTCCCATGTAAACTATCACTCAATTCATAATAAAAACTTAAAAAAAATTTAAAGAATGAAAGAAATTCCTACCTTTATGGAGCTTATTTTGGTCCAAGAAATAGTCAATGAACTATAAAATAAAAAGCAAAATATATGTTCTGCTAGGCATACTATGAAGAAAAAAAAGTAAAAAAGAGAGATAGGAATCTTTGGATGGGGGCTTGCAATTGTCAACAGAGTGAGCAGGGGTGGCTTCACTGAGGAGATGCCATTTGTATAAAGACTTGAAGATGGTGAGGGACCAAGCCAGGCAGATATCTGCAGGGAGAATATCCAACGCAGAAGGAATAGGCAATGCTAAGGCCCTGTGGCAGGGCCATGGCTGGTGTGAGAGGAACAAGGAGGTTTTCGTGGCTAGAGTGGAGTGAGTTGGAGGGGAGAATGGTCGGATTCAAGAACTGAAGTGAGGGGGCTGTTGAGCAAAGTAGTGACATGATCTGACTTGCATTTTAAGAGAACCCCACTTCTGCTCTTCCTCACTGTGGCTTTGGGCAAGTCACGCAAACTCTCTGAACATCACTCCACCTAGAAATGGAGATCCTATGTGCATCTTCTCCATGAAACTATGCCCATGCTCTCCTCTCTTGTCTGCCCGAGTCTGTGTTTCGTCCGTTATAGCTGTTATTCCACGATTACTAGTTTTCCATGGCTGGTCACTGAAATGAGAAGAGCCCAGATGTCCCTCTCCTTATGGCAGCTCCTACCTCCAATACAGAGGGGCTCCTGCCTGCTGTACAGAGGAGCTGGAAGCCCAATGTGCGTGAACAGTAGGAGTGCCATGGGTAGAGTCCAGGAATCAGTGTTTTTTGAAGCTCCCATAATGGTGAGTCCTGGTGTGGCACTGTAGGATAAGCACTGGACTGCTAATCACAAGATTGGTGGTTCAAACCCACCAGCTGCTCCTTGGAAACCCTATTCAGCATCATTATGAGTCAGAACCGACTCAACAGCACTTAACAACAACAGTTTTTTAAGGATCCCTATGAGTGGTATGGTCCTGTAGGATAAGCATTGGATCAAAAGGTCATTTTGAACCACAAGGTCGGTGGTTCAAACTCACCAGCTGCTCCTCGGAAACCCTATACAGGGTTGCTATGAGTCAGAACTGACTTGATGGCACGTAACAACAACATGAGTGGAACACACAACAATAACATCAAACAAGTGGCACTGTGGGCTTACTAGCTGCAAGGTCAATGGGTCATTATTCCACAGAAGAATAATGACCAAGGAGGCTGTCTGCTCTTATAAACATTTACAATCCCAGAAACCTAGTACAGGCTCACTATGAGCAGGAATCGACTCCATGGCAGCGAGATTGGTTTGGTTTTGGTCTAGCGCACAGGCAGTATTGAGCACCACGGGCTTAGAGCATGAGCTCTCACATCATCACATAGACTTGGGTGTGGATCTTGTTTCCGAGGTCAAGTCCTTTAACGTCTTAGACCATCATCTTCCTCTTCTGTGAATGACCACAATGATGGGGGCTGCCTCATGGGACTGTGGAGAGTAATGAACCGCGGGCACCATGCATGCTCCTTACTGGGGGCTCTTAATCCAGAAAGTGCTGGAGCAGGGAGGATAGGACCCTGAGTTGGAATAGCAGGTGCGGCTCCACCCTCCATTGTTGGAACTATGCAGTGAAGAAGAATCTGGTGTGCCATTGTTGGCCTCCAGAGTCACAGTGCCCCAATTTCTAGCACCCCGCCCAGAGAGCTTAACACTGAACTTGTCACTGACCATGGGAAAATTGAGGCCTTAAAAAAGAAAAGGTGTTTCCCAGGCCACAGGATTAGATGGTATTTCTGGACAGGTTCAGCCAGTCGTTCAACAAATAGAACCTCTAAGAGCCAGTGGCAATAGATCAGAGAGAAAAAAACCACAAGGTCCTTGCCCTCATGTAGCTTCTATTCCAGAGGATGGAGAAATGCAATAAATGTAACAAAGGGATCATACGAGTCTGTTAGGAGGTAATATGTGCTAAGGGGAAAAAAAGGTAACAGTAGGTAACACACAGCCTTGCATACCTGTTCCTTGCACATCCTCAGCAATGGATATATTGACTCTATCAGCCAGACTCCCTGAGGCTTGTCCACTGTGTCCTTCCACACTTAGAACCTCATGCACTGCCCGAGCTCACACAACTTCACACCCAGACACTGCGTTACACACCCTCTCACCGATGGATGGAGCATTCACACCATAGCACACAAATGTTCTCATACCCACCTTGGAGCCCTTTCTGCATTTAGAACTTGGCGCTGTTGTCCCTCCAATGGCCTGTGCCTACTCTTAGCTCCACTTGGCCTTGCTCACACCTGCTCTTGCACATCCGGGGACTTCTCTGTGCCGTCCCACTAACGCACCCTCCTTCGCCCACAGGGACTTACCAAGGCCAGTTCACCAACGGCATGCGACATGGCTACGGCGTGCGTCAGAGCGTGCCCTACGGGATGGCTGTGGTGGTGCGCTCGCCGCTGCGCACTTCGCTCTCGTCCCTGCGCAGCGAACACAGCAACGGCACGGTGGCCCCAGACTCGCCCGCCTCGCCGACCTCCGACGGCCCGACGCTGCCCTTGCCCACCACTCCGCGCGGTGGCTTCGCGCTCAGCCTCCTGGCCAACGCCGAGGCAACGGCGCGGGCGTCCAAGGGCGGCCGCCTCTTCCAGCGGGGCGCCCTACTGGGCAAGCTGCGGCGCTCCGAATCACGCACGTCGCTGGGAAGCCAGCGCAGCCGGGTCAGCTTCCTCAAGAGCGACCTCAGCTCAGGCGCCAGTGACGCCGCCTCTACCGCCAGCCTGGGCGAGGGCGCTGAGGCCACCGACGAAGCCGCGCCCTTCGAGGCCGACATCGACGCCACCACCACCGAGACCTACATGGGCGAGTGGAAGAATGACAAGCGCTCGGGCTTCGGTGTGAGCGAGCGCTCTAGCGGCCTCCGCTACGAGGGCGAGTGGTTGGACAACCTGCGCCACGGCTACGGCTGCACCACGCTGCCCAATGGCCAGCGCGAGGAAGGCAAGTACCGCCATAACGTGCTGGTCAAGGGTACCAAGCGCCGCGTGCTGCCGCTCAAGAATGGCAAGGTCCGCCAGAAGGTGGAGCACAGTGTGGAGGGTGCCCAGCGCGCAGCCGCAATAGCACGTCAGAAGGCTGAGATAGCCAACTCCAGGTAGGATCCTATCCGGGCAGACCGGGTGGGCCCCACTCAGGGAAGTGGACCTTGGGCGGGCAACCTAGGAGTCCCCGTCTCTGAGCCTGTTTCTACTTCTTGGATCGTCAGGGGTTCTTCGTAACCTTTAGGAAGTTAACTGGAGGCACTTAGGGTTCGAATGGCACCTGTTCACCCACTCCTCTTATCCACCTAAGCACTACACCATAGTATTCCCTATCGCCCAAACTTTTCGTTCACTTAACCATTCCATTCACCTACATTTTCTCATACCCACCTGAACAACCATCCATCCACCCGTCTGCCCCCTTCACCCTTTCAGTTTTCCATCTTTTCACTCAGACAATCCATCTATCCAACCACCCACCATTCCCTCCCTCATCTACCAATCACCCACGTTCACCCAGCTGCTCCTTTTCTCCCAGCCACATGCAGCCATCTACTCATTTGCTTACTCACCTCCATTTCCTCCCTTCATCCAACAATACACTTCTGTCCACCTAATTGCTCACTCTCACCTGTCCACTCAGTCATGCATCCATCCAGCTACACATACCACCTATAGTGCTTTCATGCACTCAACCATTCCCATCCACTCATCTATCTAACCATGCCTCCACCCACCCAGCACCCACCCTTTAATCCATAGGCAAATCCATCTCTAATAAACATAGTACCTACTGTGTACATGGGGCTACTTTTTCATTTTTATTTTGTTGTTGTTGAGAATATACACAACAAAACAAACACCAGTTCCACTGTTTCTGCATGTACATTTCAGTGACATTGATTGCAGTCTTCCAGTTGTACAACCATTCCACCCTCTTTTTCTCACTGTTCCCTAAGGGTGCTTTTTAATCTTTCAAGTTATTGCTGTGTTTTGAGCCCATATAGATAGTTCTTCTTTTATTTTTTATTTTAATGTTTTGTTGGGAATTATGTGATAGTTTACATGGGAGAACATTAGTTTTACATTCATTCTATTGTTTCATTGCCATGGTTATAATCCCCTCCATGCATCATCAACCAACCAAAGGGTATATCCTACAAGCCT